GGCCTGCTGTGTTCATCCAGCCCTGCACCTTTCTAATTAGGTTGGTCAAACAGAAACTAACAGACAGTCTTCCTTTGTGCAGGAAGTTTATTGACTAACAAAAACAGAAGTTGCTAGAGAAGCTCAGCAGGTCTGGCAGCATCTGTGGAGACAAATCAGTTAACGTTTTGGGTCCAATGACCCTTCCTCAGAACTGGCTCAACCAGTCTAATAGTTCTCCTTCCCTCAGTCGCAGCTGTTCCCTCTTTTAAATATGCACGTCAATTAATGGGCATCAACTGTTTTCCTTGGCACCTTAACTGCTTGTTATGTTAACATTGCCAACTCTGGATTTCACATGAGCATACCTATGACTTGCCACACACAGTCGTTGGTTCATGCTCCAGATGTAGTACTTTGCTACAGCTAGTTGTAAAGGGAACAGAATCTTTGAGTGTGGGAATTCTGATTCACCTCCTGTTCCATTGGCCACAGATACTGCAACTTGTTTACAGCAGTCAACTCCTGGTAGATACAGGATTGTAGCTGAGATCTCTTATTCACTGTGTCAACATATAAATTATTAGAGAGCTCCAGGTTGAATTCCTAAATCATGCATTTGTGTCGCGAATGTCATTCAGTGCTTGAGGTTTGATTCATTGTGGGCCAGTAAGTCCTCATTATTCTTTTGTTTATCTTTCTCCATTCCCACACCCGCTTCCCCCCCCCCCAAAAAAAAATCCCACAGGAAGCTGAATGCAAGAAGGAAGCAATGGATGTTAAATACAGTGCTGACACCATGATGGCTGACTCCAAGCGAGCGTTTGAAATGCAGAAGGCAGCCTTTAATCAGGAAATAAATATAAAAGTAAGTACCTTCTGTCAGGACTGACTACTCTATCTCTCATTAACCTGTTCAACAACTTGACGTGAACCCAGGGAGCCCCTTACAAACTGGAATTTATTAATTATTCTTGACACTGCTGAGTATGTGATGAAGCAGGAAGTGACTGGTCAGTCCCTTGAGCCTACTCCTGCATTCAAAAACATAGTAGGTTTGGTTAACCAACTTTTACCTACTCTTTGAACAAAGTAGGTCAGGGGAATGCATTTAATGTGATATATGGACTTTCAGAGGACCTTTTTAAAAGGTAACATCTTGCAGACTCAGATGTAATTTAATACTGGAATCTCTTTTCTAGAGGAATAGAATTCCAAGGTAAGAGTTAAATGTACATCGAATCTTGTTTACTCCACAGTTGGAATATTTCTGTGCAGCCTGCACTCCATTCTAGTTTCTAAGAAACAAAGGTACTGATAACACTAGAAGAACAGATCAAATTTACAAAAGTTCAAAAGATGCAAAGAATGAGCAGTATTTGGGCATTTTTTTATTGCACTCTGGAATAGAGAAGGTTACAAGAAGATCTGGTAGATCTTTGAAATTTGAAACCTGTAATGGAGTGGATAGGCAAAGTTGTTTTTCCATGCTTTGGGAGCATTCAGAACAAGGATGGTATAAATTAAGAATTTTAAAAATTCAAATAACTTGTGGAGGAATTTCTGTGGACTATTGTGAGAATGTGAAACATGATGCTCCCTAAATGTTTTGAAGCAGGTAGCTGTGAAATAATTAAGGAAATGTTTAATGCATTCGGAGTTTGGTCAGGACTTCAGTGCTTTTGTTTTGCCATCTATCCCTGCCACACTACCCACTCTTTAAAACAAAAATACAATGATCTATTTTTTGAAGGATTTCACTTAATCAAGAAATAGAGGTGAATTATAGTGGCATACAAGTTCTTTTTTGTTTTAGTCTTTATTACATTTCACTTAAGAGCTCGGCATACCTTGGGTGAGTGTCTTGATATATAGTATGGAAACTCCACTTACTGGGGATCAACTGTCAGAGGAAGTGGTGGATGTGTGTACAGATGCAACATTTAAAAGACATTTGGGCAGGTACATCAACAGGAAAGTTTTAGAGGGATATAGGCCAAGTGGGGCTAGTTTAATTTGGGAAACTTGGTTGGCATGGATGAGTTGGACCGAAGGTTCTGTTTCCATGTGGTATGACTTGTTGACTCTGTGATCAGTGTGCACAGCATTCAAAGTGTGGCCTAACCAAGTTTCGTTGATTTCTCTGTAATTTTCTGTTGTTGGATCACGTGCTTTGCCATGTGGATGAGAATTAGTAAGGCCACGCAGTGACCAGAAATACACCATTCAGGCCCAAGGGGCAGGACACAGGAGGCAAATCCAAGAATAGTCTTAAAGTACAGCTGTAAGGATCAAATTTATGAACCTTCCTGGGAATTTGGAAGGACATTTTGCAAGATGCAGGGTACTCAGTGGGTTAGAGCAAACAAAGCTGAAACAATACTCTCATACAAGGGCAGCAATGGTTACATCTTCAAGGGACATGAAAGACATTGACCATTGAATAAAGAAAAAAATTCAGTCATCAAATTAGAATAGATTCTCGAGAATAACTAGAGCACAAAGTTTAGAAACCTAGAAAATAGAAACAGGAGTAGGCCGTGCGAGCCTGCTCTGCCATTCGTTGTGATGACGGCTCATCATCCAACTCAATAGACTGTTCCTGTCTTCTCTTTAGCCCCAAAGGTTATATCCAAGTGCTATCAGGGAAAGAGATGTTTTACTGGGAAGGCAGGTTGGTATTCTGAGTTTAAATCCAATCTCAACCGATCCTGTTTCACCTTGGCCATTTCTTCGAGATGGTTGCCAGAAGGGGGTTAAAAAAACAAACCCAAAAAGTTTTAAGGAAATGGGTGAGGAGAATGATGGGTTCTGGACCCGAAAATCTTAATCTTCATGAAATTAGAGGGAATAAAGATTGTGTTTGAACTGTTTATTCAAAATATAATAGAATGCTGGGATACAGCAAAGTCTATTTAAGCGTTTGGGCAAGAAATTATAGACCCGGGGCATATAGCATGAAAGCAGGCATCCCAATCTGACCCAGTCCCATTTGGCCCACATCTCCCTAAACCCTTCTGTTCATATACCCATTAAGATTCCTTTTTAAATGTTGTAATTGTATCCGCCTCCACCATTGCCTCTGGCAGCTCATTTCCACACACACCCCACCCTCTGCGTGAAAAGTTACCCCTCAGGTCCCTTTCAAATCTTGCCCCTCTCACCTTAAACCTAGATCATCAAGTTCTGGACTCCCCCCATCTGGGAAAAATACCTTGGTTTTTCACCCTATCCAAGCCCCTCATTATTTTATGAACATCTATAGGGTCACCCCTCAAGTCTCTGCTCCAGGGAAAATAGCCCCACCCTATTCAGTCTCCCCCTTCAGCTCAAACCATCCAGTCCTGGCAACATCCTTGTAAATCTTTCCTGCACCTGCTCACATTTAACAACATCCTTCCTACATACAGGCAGTGATTAATGTTTCCTTTAGGAAAAGGCCACCCTGGTCATTCTGTCTATCAGTTGTTGTTAGGCTGTTCTCCTAGCACACTCCTCTTCATCCCCTTCCGTTTTGTAATCCTTTCCCTGCTGTGTTAAAATGCTTCTGCAGTTCCACATGGTCTCCTCTACAAACCTGCCACAAATAACCATGCTTCAAGTGGGACACACTGTGCTTTTGGACATCACAGGGCAGCTCACAGGACAATAATCAAACAGAGTTGTTGCAGTGTCAGTCCGGGAACTGAGGCTAACTTTAGAGCCCTCTAGCAGTATGGCAAAGACCAGCTCAGCAATGAAAGTAGCCTCTCCTTTTTCTCTTTCCTTCTCACCCTCCGTGCCTCTGTCCAGCCCCCTCCTTGGGTAAGACCATTGCTGGAAAACTTCTCATTGGAGAGCCATTTTTGGTCCGCATTCATAGTTTTAGAGTTTCTTAATAAAACTATGTTCCAGCTGAGAAGGTTTTGAGTTGGGTTCTTCATCCGCTGCCAAGGTAAAGGAAATTCTGGATCTAATTGTAGTGTTTTGAGTTTGATTTGTACAGGCCTGCAGACCCATTGGGGATTAAAGCTTTGACGTCACTGTCTGGCCTGAGCTATTTTAATGCTTTTGTCTCTCATTTTTCTTGGCTGCATGTAGAAAGCTGAGGCCCAACTGGCTTATGAGCTACAGGGAGCCAAGGAGCAGCAAAAGATCCGACAGGAGGAAATAGAGATTGAGGTGGTGCAGCGCAAAAAACAGATTGACATCGAGGAGAAAGAAATCACCCGTATGGACAAGGAGCTGATTGGGACGGTGAAGAGACCAGCAGAGGCAGAAGCCTTCAGAATGCAACAGGTCGCAGAAGGCCACAAGTATGTGTATTTCCCTCGTACACTGTTCTGCCCCCAACGCACATGCCCCCACCATCATTCTCAAACTCTCTTGTCCAGTGTGATTATTGTATGTTATTGAAATCACATCGTACAACTAACATCACAGAATTGAGTTTCACAATCGCACGGCTGTCTCCATTCAGAAGGAAGCCGTTTTGGCCTATTGTTTCCGCACAGCCTTCTGAATGAACATTTTTAACTTGGTGCTATTCTCCTATCTTTTCCACATAGCGCTGCACGTTGTTCTTGATTCTTTTACCAAGGGTAACTGTTTCTCCTTGTCTAGAACTGTAGAAAATTGCCCTTTCGGCCCTTCGAGAGCCTGGTCCGCCAATTAACGTGATCATGGCCAATCATCCAATCCAGGCCCCTGTTCCCACTTTCTCCCCAGACCCTTTGATCCCTTTAACCCTAAGAACTATAGCTAACTCCTTAACAATGTTCCAATGTTGTGGCATCAACTGCCGCCTGTGGCAGAGAATTCCACAGGCTCAGTGTAGGAGAGGTCAGATGGGATGTCAAAGTGACGCCCTGGCTGACTTTTTTTTTGTGTTTTTGTTTTCCTGGAACAAGGGCATCTTTGGGAAATCCAGCATTTGTTGCCATCCCTAAATTGCCCCTTGAACTGTGAAGTGATCTAGCAGTCACAGAGGGCAGTTCAGAGCCAGCCACATTGCTGTGGGTCTGGAGTCACGTGTAGGTCAGACCAGGTAAGGACAGCATATTGCTCTCCCTGAAGGAGAGAATCTGATGATGGGTTTTCTCATGGACATCATCACCAAGACCAGCTTCCAGTTCAGTGTTCAAGATTCAGTGGCCATTCTTTTAAAGAACGTGGGTCTGGAAACTGTGTATTCTGGAAAATATTTATTCCTGCCACTAATCAACATTGCTAAAACTAATGGCCTTGTTCCTGTGGGATCTTGTTTTGGGTCGATTGGCTGCATTTATTTTCTGTGTTACAACTCATTATGTTTGTAAAAATGCCTCACTGGTTCCTGGGATTAGATTGAAGACCGGGTGTTTCTCAGGTGTCAGTGCAGACCTGATGGGCCATAGGACCTCTTCTGCACTGTATGATTCTCTGGTTGTAAGATGGTGCCATATTAATGCAAGTATTTTCTTTAGTGGTCTCTCACCTCCACGATTCTCTTTCTATTGTACCGCAGAGTGAAACAAGTGTTGATTGCTCAGGCTCAAGCTGAGAAAATTCGCAAGATTGGAGAGGCAGAAGCTTCATCCATTTCAGCTATTGGCAAAGCTGATGCAGAGAGAATGAGACTGAAAGCAGCAGCTTACCAGCAGTATGGAAATGCAGCCAAGATGGCCCTGGTGTTGGATGCTCTTCCAAAGGTAAGCTGGCAGTTCTAATGATACAAAGGTGACGATGAAGGGTGTTTAGTTCAATTCCTTATCATCTTTTACTGTACCGTGTAGTTGGTGAGCCAGTAACAGTTGAGTCAGAGCGCTAATGGAAAAACTAGAAGTAATTCTATTACACAGGGTTATTTGAAGGTATGGCTGCTTAACTTCATCGAATTCCTACAGTGCCCATCGAGCCCGCACTGACTCTCCAAAGACCATCCCTTCCAGACCCAGTCTGCTACCCTATCCTGACAACCCTGCTAACCCACCTAGCCTGCACATCTTTGGACTGTGGGAGGAAACCAGAGCACCCAGTGGAAACGCGTGCAGACTCCAGAGAGTCACCTAAGGCTGGAATTGAATCTGGGTCCCTGGTGCTGTGAGGCAGCAGTGCTAACCACTGAGCCACCGTGCTACCCATGAGAGTGGGGCAACTTGAGAGTGAATCAGAAATGTGTTTGAGAAAGAAGACTGTAAAAGGAAACAGGAGGTAGCAAAGAAGTAGGCACCTGCAACTTGTAAATTCTCAGTTTAAAACGTGTGTGTCTTGCATGCAGTTGCATCCTCTAACTGATTCTGCCATTTCTCAAAGGCCTTTTATTGATCCTC